TGGCAAAGCAACCTTTTGATAAGAAGATTAGTATGGATTATCCAGGACCTATTGGCCAAGACAAGGGAAAAATAACCCCAAGAGCATTTCAAAACTCATCAAGGCTGCCTTTACCTTCTCAGGCCCAGAGTTCAGAGCCTGGAGGACAGAACAATTTTAAAGGAAGAGCCTCAGACTTACCTGTGGGCCCTCAGCACTGGCTGCCTGGCACTACCTTAGGCTCTACTCCCTACTTTCCAATGGCAATTCCTGGATGGCAATTCTCAGCCACCCAGGTGTGGCTCCAGTGAGGCCAGGTGTGTGACGACTGCCATGGTTACTACTTGAGACCATCATTACAGCAGTTACTACTGTTACTGCTTGAGACTGTCATTACAACTGAATGAAGGGACAAACATAGAAATGACAACAAAAAACAAAAGTAACTATTTTAAGGAAAGGTTAGCACAGGGAAGAAGAAGAGAGAAGAAGAGAAGAGGAAAAGGGCCCCCTGCTTCTAGAGAGCAAAAGCAGCCACCCGAGCTTCCACAGCCCTTATTTATTGGGTAGAATGAGGAGGGAGGAGGAGGTAACGATGGGTCAGCTGCTTAATTGATCACAGGTTCATATTGTTACTAACAGGCTTAAATTATGTGTAATCACAAGAAACACTTGCACCTGGGTCATGACTGCCCTCAGCAGTCCTTCCGGGTGGCATGCGCAGTTTGTCAATTTGCCAAAATGCTGCATTTATGAGAAACAGTTTGCTGCTTACTCATATAGCCTCCAGTGGTATACTGAGTTGATCACGACCCTCACTCTTTCAGTCTCCAACAAGGTGTGGTACAGGACACTGTGGGTGCCCCTCTGGAAGACACAAATGATAAATTTTGGCAGCATCCACAGGTACCATATCTGCTGGTAACAAAGTGCAGGAACCATTGGTGTATGGCTGCCTCCACCCAGATTTAGGAAGATGGAGCTGCCCAGATCCTCAGACTCATGACTCAGGCTGAGAGTTGCCATGGGGTGCAACCACCACAGAGAGCCTCCACTATAGCAATGCTCAACAGAGCCATGGGATCAGGGTCACCATCCCAGTAAGACTAGAGGACAGAGTCTGGAGTCAAAGAAAATCATTCTCAAGCCTTGAGGTTTTAGACTAGCCCAGGACCTGTCACTCGTTTTTTCTTTTCTATTTCTCTCTTTTGGAATGTTAAGGTCTTACAGTGCCTGTTCCACCATTGCATTTTGGAAGCATATAACTTGTTTGGCTTCATAGTCTCACAGCTAGAAGAGAATTTGCCTCAGAATGAATCATATCTTGAGTCTCACCCACATCTGATATCTAAATATCATATTTAGATGAGACATTGGACTTAGACTTTAAAGTCATTGCTGGCACAAGTTAAGATTTTTGAAGCTATTGGAATGGAATAAATGTATTTTGCATGTAGGAAAGACATGAATTTTGGGAGAAGCCAAAATAGAATGCTATGGACTGAATGTTTATGTTTCCCCAGAATTCATAAGTTGAAATCCTAGCCTCCCAAGGTAATGGTATTTGAAGATGGAGCCTTTGGGAGGTGATTAGGTGATGGGTTTAAAGCCCTTACGAGTGCGATTAGTGCCCTTATGAAAGAGGCCCCAGAGAGACCTCTCACTCCTTCTATCATGTGAGGGCACGGTGAGAAGGTGTCATCTGTCAACTAGAGAACAGGCCCTCACCAGACACTGAATCTACCAGCACCTTGATCTTGGATTTCTCAGCCTCCAGAACTGTGAGAAATAAATTTCTATTGTTTAAAAGCCACCCAGTCTATAATATTTTGTTATAGCAACCAGAATTAAGACACTGGCACAGGGTAAATACATATAACAATAAGTAGTAGTAATTGTGGTGCTGGTGGTTGGCTTTGTTTTTAAGAAAGAAACTATCTCTATCGGCTATGGTCAGGTGAATGAACAGCTTCTTTATTTATGAAAAAGCTCAAGCACTAGCTGTATGGCTTTGGCTACACTTATGAAGCATCTCGGCCTTTGTTTCTCTGATCTCCCAAACATGCAACATGCATAGCAATCAGTTTTACAAGGTTGTTGGAAGACCCAGGTGGGATATTGGAGGTGAAAAGCTGTGGAACTTACCATTTGTGGACATTATTCTTGCTTCTGCCTCCACCACTGGGTAATTTTCTACCCCATTCCCACAGTAAATGGCATGACTTAATGTTTAAAAGAAAAAAAAAAAAAAAAACTCCCAGCTTCCCCATGGGTAAATACATGGTTGTGAATTGTTACTCTTTGTCATGTCATCCCAGAGTCTCAGCCATGTAGTCTTCAAATTCAGGGAATACCAATAAGCCACATCCTAGAAAGGTCAGCAGGGAAGTAAATGGACCAAATGCATAGAGCCAACCCATCTGCACCTCCAGTCACTCTCACACCATTCCGGCTGCTAGAAGGGCATCCAGTTAGAAGGTAGTTGCAATGCCAATGAGCAATATGGTGGTTTTCACCAAATAATGGTGGTGCACGGGTGGGGTGAGTGGAAAGAGGAATATGGATCTTAGAGATACACAAGAAATGAACACTTCCAGCCCTGCTTATCTGTCACCTCCCACGGAAGTCTTTCTTGGCCACTCTGTCTAAAATGCCAACTGCTCCCCATTGCTTTCCAGCTCTTTACAAAATGGAATAATAACTTTATTACTCCTTGAAAGAATAAGATGTTGATAAGGATTAAACATGTAATACAGGTAAAGGTTTAAAACAGTGTGTGGTTTATAGTATTTAATAAATGTTAGCTTTTATCATTACTATTACCATTACTATTTTTATCTAATTACTATTTCATTCTAGCATGTATGATATTCTAAAAGTATTATCTTGGTTATCTATTTATTTACATAATTGGTATCTGACTTGCCCACTAGATCTTAACCTCTATAAGGAGGTGTCTATGTTACAGCCCTACTAAATACGTAACAAATAGCAGTTGGTTGGATGAACGATTTAATGAGTGAATGAATAGACAACTATCACACTCAGCAGACTCATTTTGTCCCATATCCCAAGAACCTACTTGTAGGAGACACTTTCTTATCTGAATTTTAGGCATGAAGAAATAGTGACACTGAAAACACTGAGTGACTTATTCACACAGGATGACGATGAGCAGGAGATGAACCTTTATCAAATTCTGGCTCTACATCAAGCATGGTGAGAGACCCACTGATTTATCCAGGCTTCTGGTCATTCCACAAAAACATATTAAGTTTCCTCTCTGGGCCATGCATTGGGCCCCTAGCCCCATCCAAAAAGAGGAGCTTTAATCCTGGATTACATCCCACTTTTGTAATCTCAATAGGAAAGCAGGTCTCAGGGCAGACCTCATGGTGAGGAGGAGGCAGGGGCACCCCCTCCCCAGAAGCACAGGCCCTGAAGCGTCGTTGGGTCCTTTCCTTTGACATCTAATTTCCTGATAGATGACTGGCATAGCCAGAATTCAATTGTCCCAGGACCAGCACATGTGGGTCCAGTTTTGTCAGCCTGCAAGGACATTGTGCAGCTTTGTTTGTTCCAGTGTGGGGTGGGGGAGGTGTTGATAAGCATCATCACAATCAGGATCTGCCGTCCATGACTTACCATTCATTTCCTAATCAGTCATCACATTTTGTTCAAGCTTAATGCTGACCTATTGAATTTAACGCCACATTCCGCAGCAAAAAGCCACTGCTGTGTTTACTGGGGGAAATCAGCCAGCTCTTGCCCTTGTTGCTGTAGCACACACAGGAAACTTAGATTTTCAGGATATTTCCCCCACCCCCTCCCTTGTTATCTAGGAGTTCTCATTTTGTTCAAAGATTGTTCCCTCTGTCTTCCCTCTTTCCCTCCATGGTGCCAAGACAACCTGAATTACATTAAAGCCCAGGCGGTCCGATATTCAGGCTACCCTCCTGCTCTCTTCCTTCCCCTATTCCCATCAACACACATGCACACACACACCTGTGTGCACACACCCATGCACACACACAAATGGGATGTGAGCCAACAGAACACTGTGTGACCTTGGGCCCATCACATCTTTCTAAGCTTCCATTTTGTCAGCTGTAAAATGAGGAGGGCAGACTCAGTTATCCCTTTCTTTTCTAATATTGCATGATTCTAATTTTCCCATGATTCTCAAATGATGGAATTAGAATTATAAAATGTCTGAAATGGAAGATATGCTGAAAACTAATCCACTATTATATCCCCATATTTCAATTATTTCTTATTTTTTGAGACAGCATCTCGCTCTATCTCCCAGGCTGGAGTGCAGTGCCACAATCTTGGCTCACTGAAGCCTAAGCCTCCTGGGCTCAAACGATCCTCTCACCTCAGCCTCCCAAGTGCCTGGGACTACATGTGCTCACCACTACACCAGGCTGATTTTGTTTATTTTTTTGTACAGAGAAGGTCTCACTTTGTTGCCCAGGCTGGTCTTGAACTCTTGGGCTCAAGTGATCTACCCACCTTGGCCTCCAAAGGGCCGGGCCTACAGGTGTGAACTGCTGCACCCAGCCCCCATCTTTCAATTATTTTAGTGACACTTTCATCCTTTTTGCCACATCTCCACACTACTATCATTCACTCAACTGTTTTCTTCTTTAAATTGACCTTTTTACTTAAATACATATATTTAAAAGACATCCTTTATCATTACCACAAATAGAAAAACCGTAATCATTTGCTATAGATGTAATCATAATTAAAGGAAAATACAGCAATCTAAGAAAATTTTGGCCGGGCCCCACTGCCTGTCCAAGGACCCCAGCCTGCTGCTTGTCTGTGGAAATGGCAGCACAGTATATGTTTAAAGGCACTAAGGTCATGCTGGCATCAAGGAGACTCTTTTGGCCCTAATCAGAATTGAAAAGAGCCACATTCTCTCCCCAGGGATGTCCATTTTATTTAATACAGAGGCTATGTGCCACCCAAGATTGCCCGCAAGAACTTCACTTCGGGTAAAATGTTCTCACCACTGGTCTTTAGGTTAATGTTGTAATTAGTTCATCGAATGCTCCAAATTGCCAATATCTGCATCTTCTTCACCATTACCTTCACCTGCGACCATTGCCAGGCAGCTCCTATGAGAAAACAGACAGGGTCAGAAACATACACACACACAAGCACATGCTCCAAAACCAGTTTTTAAACAGCACAGTGCTTCCCTGGCACTTCCCCAAGTCCACAGCTCTAGGAATCACTGACCTCAGGCAGGTCTACGTCACTACTTTTTCTAAAGAAATCACTGCCCATGTACAACAAAGAGCAGCTTCCCTTGAGCATTTGGGGAGCTCTTGAAGCAACTTCCTTTTTTCCTTTTCTCTCTTCATAGACGCAATGTGGAGTAGGGAGCAGGTGGTACACCCTTGTGAGAAAACAGGTACAGAGACTGGGGGGCGGACAGGGACGAGAGAGAGACAGACACTGCCTTCTGTTTATTTTGTGTGGTATAGGAAGAAAATATTTAAACGTCTCTACTTTAGGTACAGTCTGGCTTCCAATTCCAATTCTATCATTTTCCAGCAACACAAATTTGGGCAAGTTGCTTAGCCCCCCGAGCTTTAATCTCCTCCTTAGCAAAATGGCTCTAGTGACACACCCTTCCTTGCATTCTGAGGGTGTAAGGCAGGTATGATACCAGGCACCAAGATAAACATTCATCCAACACTCAGTCCCTTCCTTTTTTACCTTTTTTTTTTCACTTTGGCACCATTCATGAAGGTCCAAAATTAATCCCCTTTTTATTTGTGTGTTTGTTTGTTTTGCCTTCTAAATCCTGAGTCTCATCTGCAAAATGGAAAAAAGACTGTGAATTTCCATAATGTAAGTTTTGTTTTCTGTGACTCGATTATGGCAAGTGATGTATGAAGGCTGAGTGGAGTGACAAGGAGAGGCACAGAGAAGAGGGAAGATAAACTTTACACCAGCCAACTCAACAATCAACCCCTTTTGAATAATCATTAGCAGCCTGCTGGAAGCTCCAAGTCTTCCAAAGATTTTGGATATGAGAGAGTAACAACATGAATCTAGAAAATGTGGTGCATTTCGTGCATAGATTTGAATTAGAGAATTCTTGGTCAGTTTTGCATACGAAGTTGGGGAGAAGGCGCCGAAGGTGCAAAGAAACACAGAGAAACACCTCCCCCTGCTGCCTAGATGGCGAATAGCAGCAGAGATGTAAACAAAAAAAAAAATTTTGTGGTCACACAAAAACCTTCACCCTATTCCAAGTGTTTGCCAAGGATTCGCTATGTGCAGGTAGCTGAATTTTATGGAATGCATCTTCCTATCCTAAGTTACCTTCAAAGGTCATAAAAAATGATCTTAGGATATTATTACAATGATGATGCTTTCCACTGGGCAGGTTATTTGTTTCTTTAACAGGAAATATATTAGCATCACTTTTAAATTAAAATGATATAAAAGCTATAAATTGAAAAGTCTTGTTTCTGACTGCCTTACGTATACCTAGCTACTTTTATTAGCTTTTCATATAAATATAAGTAAATGTGACTATGTAGTCTTTTTTTCCTTCTTACACAATAATTAGCGATTTGATACTCTTCTGGACATTGTTTTTGTCACTTAACAACATAACTTGGTGATCCTTCCAAGGCAAAAAAGCTCTCCCAGATATGTTTCAGGGCAGAGTAAGCTCCCTTGTTCTTCCTTCCCTGGGCATGTTATATATGGAAAGAACACATCCCCTCTTGGGGAAACCAGATAAGTTGTTTAAATTATTGCAGATGTGAATGATTTTAATGTAGAAATAGCCTCTTTTGGTCCACATTAATCACAAATACTGTTCACAACACTTTGCAATAAACTTGTCTCCTGCCTATATTTTTTTTCTGGTATTCCTTGTTATTAGACCCTCTCGCCTTGGTATCCACTGTGTTCAAGAGCAGAACAGAGCTTTGAACTTTACAGTCTAATGCTCAGAATTAAAAGTGCTTAATGCAACCAAGATTTCTATTTAAAAACCCAGGGTAAAGGAAAAAGCCTTTTGCTTCAGCTGAAATATTCTTGTAAAGGGCAAAATGGAAAATACAAACACCACTGCCGTTTGCTGGTTGCATGCCACAGCCATCGGCACCTCCTGGAAATGGCAAGCCCGCGAGGTCCTGATGGAAGCCAGGTTAGTCTTATTGCATTTGAGAGAGCTAGAAAAGTGTCTTCCACTGTGATTGAGCCAGCAAGATTGTGAAGGTCAAAGAAAAAAACCAATTATCCATAGCAAACACTGACCATACAATTAAATTACACCAGTCAGGAAAGCATCTGATCTTCTGCAACAGACTTCTTCCAGCAAATTTACCCTTGAATCAATCTGGGCCACTCATTGGCATCCAGCTATCAGTTTCCTTCTGCTGCCCCACATCCTACAACATGTCTGTAGCAGATGCATCACTGCCCACCTACATCCCCTTGGCCCACCCCAGAGGTCATCTGCAGCTGCAGTGGTCAACTCCCAAGCACGCAGACATCTCAGCATCAAGAACCTGCTTCTCTCTGCCCAAGGGCTTTTTCTGGCCACAGAAGTATCCCCTGCACAGTCCACATCTGCAGGGCAGGACAGAAGTTCCAGGGAGCTACCATCCCCAAGAGCAAGCCTCAAGCAATGAGTCGGAGGATAAACACCCAGTTCCCTTGCTTGCCCCTTGCTGGGGCAATCCCAAAGTGTGTGGTGCCCATACTCTCAGAGGGACACCAGTGCGACTGAGCCCCAGGTGGGAGCTACTCATTAACATACTGCTTATTGGCTTTTCTCTCGTCCCTGCTCTCTCATCATTTTTCCGGGATTGACTCCTGTGACAGCCTTGCTCCGGTCAAGAGACAGAAACCACACAGTAAGTTCAATAGGACAAATGTAACACAGAGTCATCAACTACTATGAAGAGTACAGACATAAGGAAACTACAAAGCACCCTAGAGCTGAGAGGGAGAACTTAGGAAAAGATGAACTTGAGAGGGATTCAGACCTCTTGGGAAACGGTGAGGTTCAGCCCACGAGACAGCAGGGAAGCTGCTTTGGCCAGCCTGGAGCTGGCCTGGAATTGCTGGGAACCACCAGAGTGCAGCCAGCCTCCGGAGTGCAGCGGGAGCCAGTCAGCAACTGATGGTGAGGGCTGGAGCCCGGGAGCTGGCCGGGGCTGCTGGAGGCTGCAGAAGGAGTGGCTACTCAATGCGTGACCCTGCCAGCTAAGTGCAGCTGCACACAGGCCGAGCAGAAGCTTGTAAAGGGAGTTCCGGGCCCAAGAGCAGCAAACAGGGAAAGGGAAGGTAATCCGGACACCGGTAAGGGCAGGAGGCCTTCGGAGCGCTCATTCTGTGCTGGGGGGCTCTGCTTTCCATGTCAAGAGGGCTGCACAAAAATTATCACCAAGTCGGGGTTGCAGAGTCACAGAAGGACCAGTTCCACCCGCTGTCCTTGCTCACCCACACTACTGAGCCGCTGTCCCCGCACAACCGGCAAGGACCCTCCTCCAGCTGTGGTGTCCTCCAGCGCCCTCTACTGAGGAAGCCTAGCATCGCGCGCACTTGAAGAAGACAGGCTCAAAGGCAGGCCTTTGTTAGTCCCAGAACATACATTAATAAAGGGTCCATTCAGAGCTGACAGGCATAAAAAAATATTTTTTAAAAAAGATAAATACACCTCCCAAACTCCCACTTGCACTCAAACCCTTGTCTCAGGATCTGCTTTTGAAAGAACCCAAATCACAACAGTGTCAGAGAGCTGATTTTTGTTCACAAAAAGAGTCAGACTCTAAAATATTTAAAGAAATTTATTCTGAGCCAAATATGAGTCACCAATGGCCCGTGACATAGCCTTCAGGAGACCCTAAGAACAAGACCCCAAGGTCGTTGGGGCTTCGCCTAGATTTATACACTTTAGGGAGACATGAGACTTCAATCAAATACATTTAAGATACATATTGTTTCAGTTCGGAAAAGGGAAACTGGGGGGTCTGCTTCCAGTTGTGGGTAGATTTAAAATTTGTCTGATTTGACAATTGGTTGAAAGAGTTATTATCAATAGAAAGAAATGTCTAGGTTACAATAAGAAGTTGTGGAGACCAAGGTTTTATCATGCAGATGAAGTCTCCAGCTGGCAGGCTTCAGAGAGAATAGAATGTAAATGTTTCTTATCAGACTTAAGGCCTGTGTTGATGTTAAATGCTGGTCACTTTTCCTGAATTCCTAAAGAGAGGAGGGTATAATGAGACATGTCTGACACCCCTTCCTGTCATGGCCTGAACCAGTTTTTCAGGTTAACTTTGGAGTGCCCTGGCCAAGAAGGGCCAGGAGGGGTCCTTCAGTTGCTTGGAGGGGCTCTAGAATTTTATTTTTTGTTTATATTTTAATCTTGGCTCTGTATGACCTCAAGAAAGGGTCTTATCAGCTTAGAGTGCCCACTTTCTCACCTGTAAGATGGAGGTGATCCTTAACAGTCCACCTCACAGGGACTATTCTTGAGAGAATGCAACAAAATAGACCACCTGCAATGCACTTGGTACAAAATAATTGCTCAAAATAAGTGCTTGATATCACCTCCCTTCCGCCTTTTCAAACCAAATCAAAGCCCCAAAGGTGGTTCTTCCTTTCTTTAAGTAAGAGTCAAGGTATGAGAATGCTCCGAGCTACTCTGCTCAAGACATTTTTCCCTTAAATGTGGCCCAGGACATCTTAGAGGAAAATGGGGAGATTAGAAGGAGGCCTTGTCCTGGAAAGGAATGATTTGAAGTATTGGAAACAAATGATAAACAAGTGTTTCTCTACAGAGAAAAAAGTTCAAGTAGAGAAGTTCTCTAGGATATGACAATTTCTGTTGGCATTTAAATGAATGAGCTTTAAAGCAGGGAATAAGCAGTGTGATAATTGCTACCATTAATTAAGAGTTCACTATGTGCCAGGAATTCAAAGTCATAATCTCTCTTAGTCCTCATAACAATTCTTTAAGGTAAATGCTATTTTTAATCTCATTTATGCAAATGATGAAACAGAGGCTTGAAAACATGGAGCAGTTTTCCCAAGGTCAGAGCCAGGATTTGATCCCAAGCCTACCTGACTCTAATCCTTGGCTTCAATTGCTGTGGTGGATACAACTGGGATTGAGCCTAAGGAGTCAGAAGTCTGTGGTCCTGGTCCAGGCTTTATGTTTGAATCCCTATGTTCTCCAGTAATTCTTCCCTCCCCAAAGGGATGATTCCTTCATCTGTAAAATGAGAGAGCTGAGTTAGAATCAGGGTTTCTGCAGAGGTGGCACCACACCCAAGGATATTTTGGAAAACTGTGAGGATAGCTGGTGCTATGATAAGAGGGCACTCAGTGATATTTCATGGTTGAGGACCAGGGTGAGTAGATGCCCTACATATCCCACAAGATATCTGTGTAGTTGAAAAAGTTATGTGAACCTAGAACCTTCCTCCATTTTACATCTAAAAACAAGTGAATTCTTATACCATTTAATATCCAGTGAATTTTCCAGGGTCAATTGAAGAAAGATTGTACTTTATTTTATGATAAATTTTACCAGGAGTTGGTCACTATTTGGTAAATCATATCACCAACAACAGTGCAAAACATGATATGCATTAGCAGATCATCCCCCTCTCACTTTGCATTTGTACTGATTATGGATACAGTCACAAATGTCTGTGTATTTCATGGGGTCTTTGAGTGTAGTATTCCCCAGTTATTTGTATATTGAAACACTCATTACCACTCAAGAGGAGAACAGATAAATAAATCATGGTATATTCATAAAATGGAGTACTACAAAGTAAACTAAAAAAAAAAAAAACTACTAACATGACAACATGGATGAATCTCATAGACATTATGTTGAACAAAGAAACCAGACACAAAAGTGAAAATACTGTACAATTCCACTTGTATGAAACTGAAGAAGAGTCAAAATTAATTGATGGTGGTAAGTATCAGAATAGTAGCACACCTCCTGGAGACACTTTTAACCAGGAAGGTACCCAAGAGAAGCTTCTGGAATGGTAAGAAAGTTCTATGTCATGGTCTGAGTGATGGTTACACAAGTATATAAAACTAATTAAATATTCATCAAGCTAGACTGGGTGTAGTGGCTCACGCCTGTAATCCCAGCACTTTGGGAGGCCAAAGTGGGTAGATCTTCTGAGGTTAGGAGTTCAAGACCAGCCTGGCCGACATAGTGAAACTCCATCTCTACTAACAATACAAAAAAATTAGCTGGGTGTGGTGGTGCACGCCTGTGGTCTTGGCTACTCGGGAGGTGGAGACAGGAGAATTGCTTGAACTCAGCGGGCAGAGATTGCAGTGAGCCAAGATCATGCCATTGCACTCCAGCCTGGGCAATAAGAGCAAAACTCCATCTCAAAAAAAAAAAGTTCATCAAGCTGAGCACTTAAGACTAATGCACTTGGACACACCTTAAAGTACCTACATTTTACCTCAGTATTTTCTTTTTTACAACTCCATTTGAACACCCGAGTTTAAATAGTCACAAACAAAAGGCTTCTGGAATCAGGCATCTGGGTCCAAATCTCAGATTCTTCTTACCACTTCTTACTTTGTAAGATCTTGAGAAAATGACTTACTTTGTCTACGATTCCATTTTCTTTCATACAGCGTGAGAATAATGGGAAGCAAATCACTACGCACTCGTTGCCAACTTGTCTGGGTGCAGTGAGACAGAACACATTCGCACACAAGTTACATGAAGCAGATTTATTACTTATAGGCAGCAAGGATAACAGAAGACTGGGATTCATTTTAAGCTCGTCCCCAAGGCTCAGAAAAGCTTCCTAAGGCAGATGATGCTCCGTCTGCCTGTGCCCTACTTGCACCGCAGCTAAGGAACCAGGGAAAGCAGCCCACCCTGGGTTGTATTCCCTATGGTCACATGACATGCTGGGCTAAAGCACTGAAGGACACCCTGTTTCTTTCTCTTTTTTCATATACTTTTAAGTTCTGGGGTACATGTGCAGAACATGCAGGTTTGTTACATAGGTATACACGTGCCATGGTGGTTTGCTGTACCCATCAACCCACATTTACATTAGGTATTTCTCCTAATGCTATCCCTCCCCTAGTTCCCCACTCCCTACAGGTCCCGGCGTGTGATATTCTCCTCCCTGTGTCCACGTGTTCTCATTGTTCAACTCCAACTCCCACTTATGAGTGAGAACATGCGGAGGATACCCTTTTTCTTTAGGAGGACGGGGCAGGACTGGAACAGAACTCAGGCTGTTCCAGCCATCTCCCCCTTTATCTCAGATGCTACACTCGTGGCACATTCTATAGTTACTCTTAAGAACTACAAGTGGAAAAGGAGTAAAAACCGGTTCGGACCAAGGCCACCTGGAGCACTGTCCTGCAAAGAGTAATTCATTCCTCTCCAGTTTGCTGAGTGCATTCAAGACATAACACATATAAGAGTGTCTACCACTCTCCTTATGTTCAATAGCTATTCATTTCTCCTACACAAATTTCACACTCCATTTGCTCTGACTTCCCAAAACAGAGCTGTGTCAGTGATGGCAAATTTGTGACATTTGTGTTCCTCAGGGCCCCCTCCTGAGCCTTGAAGGATATGGCTAATCCACTACGACACTCTTCCCTGCTGACCCTTAAAATCCATCTCAACACAGTACTCCCTGAGGCTTCACCACCTCATGAGAGCTGGGCATGAAAGAAAACTTATTTGCCATCCTGGCCTATGTCATATTCATCTTTGCTTTGGCTGTAGTATCTAGTACAAGCACTTGTCAAGCTTGTGAGAAATGAAAAAAGAGCTGATATTTATTACACATCTAAACAACACACTGAAGCTGGAGTTTTTTTTAATACACTGCCTCTTAAATCCACACACACAAAAATCTGTGGGGGAAAAAAAGCATAATTCTTGTTAAGAAATTAAAAAAAAAAAAAATCAAGCTTATTTAAATAAGAAAGGCCTGTCCACAGATGACAGATGGTTAAGCCAAGTTTAAATCCAGGTTTGTCTGCCCCAGATGCCCAAGGTCTGTCCACCATGGCATGCCACACTTCATCAACTGTGCACACACAGTGCAAGTCCAACATTAGAAAGCAGGTATGTTCTCTCTTCCTTAGCACTGCCTATGGAGGTGGCAGCCATGTCCTCCTCAGCATCATGGCCGCCTTCATACCCCTTGTGAAGCCCAAAATAGTCAAAAAGAGAACCAAGAAGTTCATTGGGCACCCGTCAGACTGATATATCAAAATTAAGCGTGACTGGTGGAAATCCAGCGGTATTGACAACAGGGTTCGTAGAAGGTTCAAGCTCCAGATCTTGATGCCCAACAGTGGTTATGGGAGCAACAAAAAAACAAAGCATATGCTGCCCAGTGGCTTCCAGAAGTTCCTGGTTCACAACGTCAAGGAGCTGAAAGTACTGTTGATGTGCAACAAATCTTACTGTGCTGAGACTGATCACAATGTTTCCTCCAAGAACTGCAAAGTCATCATGGAAAGGGCCACCCAGCTGGCCATCAGTGTCACCAACCCCAATGCCAGGCTGTGCAGTGAAGAAAATGAGTAGGCAGCTCATGGGCCTGCTTTGTGTTTACATAAAACTGTAAAAAATAAATAAATAACAGAAAAAAGAAAGTAGATATGCAATATCTACTGTCTTCCCTCAACAATAAAATCATCCAGAATTCAGAACAAGAAAAATAGATGTGCTATCCTATTAGAGGTGAGTTAAAAAGAGGATATAGGAAATTATTTCATGCCAAAAAATAAATAAAACTAAGTGAGTTCTGATGGTTAAAAAAGAGCAAGACAGAATCAACAGCCTGCAAGACTAACAGTTCACTGACTGCTAATTCTGCAGATTTGCTTCTTCAAACACAAGCACATTAGGTATTCTGTTAATGGAGCCAAAAGCGCCTTCTCTAATCCCAAGTGAAGTGCAGATAGCCACTCTCTGCCGAGCCTTGTTTTTCTTGCTTTCATTTTGGTTTGCTTCCTGTGGGTTTCCTGTACCTCATCAGAAACTGAAGGTAGGAAAACAGAGCTGCCCCCTGACCAAAGTAAAGCTCTCATAGGGAGGGCCAAGGGGACTCGCAGAGCGCAGACCTCGTGCATGTCAAGGCCACTCTTTTGAATCTGAAAGTACACGTAATGCCGTCTCCGCTGAGGAGGACATGACCACAGAGAAGAAACGAGAAAAGATGGGGAGGAGGAGGAATGCTACAATGTCACAGCCAGGAGGGCCTGTGGAGGTCGCTTTGCCCATTTTCCCAAATGTTAATCATGTTGGCCAGAATCCTATACCACCTGCACTATTACTTATTCTCTTTCTTCAAGTAAGCTCACTTATTCAATTAAATGTAGCTTCATCTTAATCAATATCAATGAAATCACACATTTGATGTGATAGTTATATTTTTTTCCTAACAGACTTTAAAATAAACGTAACTATGAAAACTTAAAATGTTCATCCATGCATCATATATAAGCTTGTATCTCCCTAGTGGGACCTGCACCACACACTGAGAAAGACTGATAGTTCACTGGATTCTAGGCTTGTTTTTTAGCAGTGGAAATACTTCGGGGTTTTAATGGACCCCAATCTGTCCAATAGATAACTGCTCTGAAGAAAGCTGCCCAGGGCAGCTTGGAAATCTGGACTTTTAGCATCTACATTGCTGCCCACCTTGCTCAAGACCCCAGAGGTCACTTGGCTCAAGGCTCAGTAAGCAGCATTTGAGGCCAGGCACAGTGGATCACACCTGTAATCCCTGCACTTTGGGAGGTCAAGGTGGGCAAATCGGCTGAGGTCAGGAGTTCGAGACCAGCCTGGACAACATAGTGAAACCCTGTCCCTACTAAAAATACAAAAAATTAGCCAGGTGTAGTGGTGTGTGCCTGTAGTCCCAGCTACTCGGGAGGCTGAGGCAGGAGAATCACTTGAACCCAGGAGGCAGAAGTTGCAGTGGGCTGAGACTGCACCACTGTACTCTAGCCTGGGCGAAGGAGCAAGACTCTGTCCCAAAGAAAAAAAAAAAAAAAAGCTTGAAACTCTGTTCCAGCTCCAGCTTGTTTTACAGAAAAGTAAATTAGAGCATGAAGAAGAGAAATGATGACAAGAGGTTGCACAGAAAGTTACTACAGAAATAGATGTGGAAGCCAGAGCCCTTAATGTACATCTAGAGATTGTGGCACTACCCTGTACCCTGGAAAATCTTCAACATGGGCCACAAAGATGGCACATTGCCTTCCTCCACCTCTCTCCCTCCACACATGCTGGTTTGAAGAAACATTTGAGCTGAGAGGGGAGGAAATCTGTGGCTAGGTAGAAAGACAACGAGGTAGAATTTGGACAATTAATTGCTAGGGTGCTACTTGGGCTGAAAGTTGTTTGGACTGAGAATAGAAGATCAATGCATGGGAACCTCAAGGTGAGGTGACAGACACAACCCAAATGCACCATGTCATGTGGGCACCTTTGTTTCCCCAGTTTTCTTCAACTGACTGAAGCATCTAGAAATGCACCCAAATGCCCAAATCCTACCTGAGAAGCTTTGAAGAATAATTTGAGACAAATTCTACACCTTGACTCCTTCCTCATCTGCAGCTCCTCCTTCACCCCACCCCTATCCAGCCATGCCCTTCCAGCATCCTTTTGTGGGTCTTTATATCTAGGGACATCCAGCATCTCCAGGTAGAGCAAATTTGCCATTGCAGCATCTTCAGGTCTCCTCCCCATCCATCACGCTGATCCACACAACACAGGCGGTGCAGCCCATTCTGCTAGTGATGACGTCTTCCTCCTTCAAAGGCTGGAGAGGGGGTCATAAATAATAACACTTTAATAGTTTTTCTCATCCACCGCAGCCTAGCTCAATATAAGAAATCATTTTCCAACAGCCAGAACTTCCCCCAAAAAGCTGAGCTGACTACTACACACAATGATATGCCTCCATCACTAGGGGATTGCTTGAAGGGGCACCATTGGGAGATTCTGGCCTTATATGAGGAATTGCACTGAATGACCACTAATACCCCCTTCCAACCCTGTGTTCTCTGATTCTACAAGGGTTTTGTGGCCTTTGGGTCACAGTGAGGGGGATTATGAAACATACAGCAATTTGGGGGAGTATTTTTGATTGAGAAGCATCTTTGACTCTAGAGCAGGAATCAGGAAACTTTTTTCATAAAGAGCCAGAGGGTATAAATAAGTTCTTATTGCAATTATTCAATTCTGTCACTGTAGCATGAAGGCAGCCATAGACAATATGTAAACAAGTAAGAGTTGTAATGTTCCAATAAAACTTTATTTATAACACAGGTGGCAGTTGAGTCTGAAATCATTTCAAAATAAAAAGTTAATGAATGCTGACAGCAGGCGAGATTTGACCTGCTGGCTGAGGTCAACCAACTCTTGCTCCAGAGAAAACCTGTCTACCTGGATAGCTCCCCTCTTCCTTCCTGCTTCACCCAGTCAATCATTGAGCCTAGTCAGTACACCTCCTGAATATTATGTGACCATCCATAAGAGAGACAAACCAGTCCCCTTAGGTAATCAAACTCACATCATCCATGACGGAGGATCCCAAACTGACCTCCCCTTTTAGGGACATGCATACATTTCTTAAAATGTCAATGGTCCAGCCTGGGCAACTTGGCAAAAACCTGTGTCAATGAAAAATACAAAAATTAGCTGGGTGTGGTGACACATGCCTGTAGTTCCAGCAACTTAGGAGGCTAAGGTAGGAGGATAGCTTGAGCCCAGGAAGCAGAGGTTGCAGTGAGCCAAGATGGCACCACCACTGCACTGGGTGACAGAGTAAGGCCCTGTCTCAAAAAAAAAAAAAAAGTAAAACTCCAGGGTGGAAGTGTTTTAGCCTTTCAATCAGGAGAACTATTGTCTATTTAGAAATGCTAAGTACAACCCTCCTCCCTTCCAGATTCCTAACTAACAGAGGGCAGAGGCAAGGAGCTCCATGAGAATCAAGACACAGTAAGTACTACACTGCCCTTAGGGAAGGCAAGTACCGAATAACTCCAGTACTTAATGTTTTGGCTTTACTCTGTTGGAGAACATGGATGATAACAGACCTTCTCCAGTATTCTCCTCAACCCCTGAGGACCTTTAGGCCAATCCAGAGGAAAACCAAAGCTCAGGAACTAACTCAAAGTCTACCTAAGCAAGAGCTGCTTTCTTGAATTTCTCTCATAACTAACGCAGGAGACAGCAAGACAGCAAGTATCACTGATCCCACAGCCCTGCATTTCAATGCAGAGGCCCCATCACCCTGGTTAACGTGATCATAATCTTAGTGGTGATGTGGTGAGAATCTAGAATCCACTGGATTGTACTGACCAGAGGTCAGGGCCACCACACTGACTACAGGAAGGGCGCAGGAGGAACAGGAAGAGGGATGTTCACTGCCCAAAGGCGCAATTCTAATGAGATGCTGATTAGCTTAACTAATAAGCAACAGTGTCAGTAATAAAATATTACAAATTGATCTATCTACATCTTATCTCATGCATTATTCTCAACAATCCTGTGAGATCGACATTCATATCAACGGCATTTACATATAATGACTTGACTAGCGGAGGTTGAATCCTAAAACTGGTTGAAACTAAGAAATCCTGGGTGTTTTATATGTTCATGGTGAAAACTTGAACTTACCTTTGGAGCAAGTCATCCCATTGTTCTGGAAATAATCACTCAGTGATCCCTTTGAGTTACACCTGGGTAAAGTAATTTCATTCCTACCCACTGGTTTTGGAATAGGGACTTTTTTTAATTGGATATGCAGCTTGGAAAGAGCATGGGTTTAGAAGAAGCTGATAAGTAAACTGATGAAAGATCCTTTTTCATACTTTTTTTTACATATATGAATCTACACATATATGTAGAAGGAACCAAGGATGCTTCTGGAAGAAGAGGGTTTGGTATTTAACTATTTATTAGAACACATCTGATGGACAAGACTGTACCCACCTGGGGCCAGGTGGTGGGAAGAAATGAAAGAAAATCACCAACAGGAAGATGGAGTGTGGACTGGGTAACCCAGACCTACGTTTTTGGAACAAAATGGTGGTTCTAGGCAGTAAGTGGATGGTGCTGTAACTCATTGCAGTGTGGCTCCCCAGGTGCTGAGCTGTGCCTTGGGAAGCTTGGCTTCACTTAGGTGAAGTGGAAGACCTGACCTCTTAAGGTCAGGTCTTACGGTCAGGTCAGGTTACCTCTCATGACATTGATCAACTTACCATTTCTAAGGTTCTGTTTCCTTGTCTGTAAAATGATGATATTAATGATACTCTCAAAGCAGTTTCTCAGACGAATACTCTCTTCCCTGGCAACCCAGGCCAATTGGGGAGAGAGTATTCTTGCCCAAGGATTACCCAGAGAAAGACCAGCATCCACTGTTCTCAGATGAACCACTGCAAAAGTTGGCATTTCTCCAGACCATGAGGCCTTCCAGCTTCAGCAAGTGAACAAGGATCTCAGTAGCTATTTTTCTCATCCACAGAGCACCAACAGGGGTTCTTACACACTCCATGAAAGGGCTCCTGAAGACAAGAAGTTACAGATGACTGCACTGCCTGCCAATCTGAGCAGGTGGAGGGTTGGAGTTACAAGGTGACTGTTAGCAATGGATTGTTTTGTATGTTGTATTAACATGAGCTGTTGTGGTCCAGCGACATCCAGGTAAAGAGCATGGTGGCCAGACGGGGTCCAGAGAGGCTTAATAAGAGAAGCTCAGCAGTTCCTAACATTCACTATACATAGTATTTCACCGAGAGCTTCCAAAATAGATGGATGTTTGTGCTGAAACCTAGTCCAGTTGAATCAGTCTTTTGGAGCAGAGCCCAGGAATTAACGATTTTTGAAAAGCTCCCCCAGTAAATATAATGTGTAGCCAGGTTGTGAAGTACAGAGCTAGCCCAAGACAGATAAAAAGAGAGAGAGAGAGAAAGACAAAAAGGGAGATTTTTGTAGATCAGGAAGCTAAAGATTAGAAATTCAAATGATCATCACAAGGTCATTCAGCTGATAAGTAGCAGAATCACATGTCATATTCAGGTCTGTCTGATTGCTGATCATATACTGATTTAACTCTAACGTGGTATCTTGGGGATTCTGCAGAATGAGGAGAGAAATTGACAGATAAAAGGGAACAGAAAAGCATGCCTTCTCCAACCTCAGCTTTCTCCTTAACCTGATAAAAACATCCTTGCAGTAAATAAAGGGGGAATCTTGCATAGAGACACAAAATACTACTTCTGCAAGTCAATGAAAAGCCATCCAGCCTAAATCAACATATTTCAAGATAAGTCTCTTCTCACACCCACCCCTTCGCCCCAACCACCACTTATTTATAGCTGAAAACGTTGTCAAGCTCAATACACTTGGGGTACCACTGGAAGGCAGGCACTGAACGGAATGGAAAAATATGTGCCTGGTGAGACTTGCAATGTACTGGAATCACACCTGTACTGGAGCTTCCAGCCCACATAGGTCACAGGCAGAGAAAGAGTGAGATATTGAGAGAGAGAGAGCGCTCATGGGGAAAATGGTACAAGTCAGGCTGGTTCAGAGGCATCAGACATTACCAGAAAGGCCTTTATGAAATCGTAGTTTACAAGTGCCCTCTGTTAAATCAAGTTTAGCATAAAGCTGCCTCCTTACATACTTTAATTTCAGCCTAAGGATTTCTCTGTACATTGTGAACTATAACAAGTGGAGATATAAACAGACCATAACCTACGATTGTGCCAGTCACGAGTTTTGGTCAAGCAAATGTACAACTGTTCAAACCATGTTCAAATAAAGCAAACACCAAGCTGTAACCAATCCAATTCTGTAACTCACTTCTGTTTTCTGCACCTCACTTCCGTTTTCTGGGCATTACTTTCCTTTTCCCGTCCATAAATATTTCTCCACCACGTGGCTGTGCTGGAGTCTCTGAGCCTACTCTGGCTGGGAAGGCTGCCCAATTCACAAGTCGTCCATTGCTCAATTAAACTCCTTTAAATTTAATTCGGATGAAGTTTTTCTTTTATTACCTCTGAGCATGTATGAGAACTTACTGAATAATATCATTAGAGCTATTATTTATGGAGAGCCAATGCACCAAGTCTTCAGCAAAGACTTTAATGGGAACCATATCAATTACCACCCCATCCCATCCCCAACACGCATACATCTATACACAATGTGCCCACACACACATACATCTATACACAATGAGGTTGGTGGTATTATTCTTATTGTAATGATAATGAAACTGAGCCCTAGAGATGTAAATAAACTGATCAGCCAAAGTCCCAAAGCAAGTAGTTATGGAGCTGGTATTCAACCCTAGGGGGGAAAATGACAGCAAACCTCATTTGTTACTAGGAGTGTGGGGTCTATTTGACTACAGAACTTCTGGCAGTAAAAATGCAGGCAAGAAGCCAAAAGCCCATTGGCAGTTTCTCCTCTTTCCCTATCTTCTCCTTGTCTTATAACTAGGAAGAAAGCAGGGAGAACCTGCAAGGCACTTGCAATGGTGTACTGCTAGGTCTCCAGAGTCCATAGGAGCTCAATGGGCTTTACCAAACCACACAGCTCCCTCTCTTACAAACTGTTTGTTTCAGGCCCTGTGTGGAATGCAGTCACCTAGTCAGTTGAAACCAGTTTCTGACAGACCCTGGCAACGTATAGATGAACTCAAGTGAACTTTCCTCATTACCATGCTAATGTCTCCCGCCCAGAAGGAGCTATAAAGCAGGTGACCTATGTGCTGGCATGATGACTCACTGCATCTGCGCCACTGGGACCCCTTCCCTGCATGAGATGACACATTCTCTCCCCCTCCATCGCCCCATAAAACTCTCCTGTCACTTTCCCTCAGAGAGACACTGCTTTAGAGAATGCTCCCAGTGCTCTCCTTACTTGTGATGAGTAATAAAACTCCCATGGATCAAAACCTCTGTTCTTGTGGAGAGTTGTTGATGCTTGCCAGGAAAATGAACCCTGGTTTTGTTTGGGTAACATCGCTAAGTGTTTAAAAACAGACTCTATGGGGAAAGAAAGCCCTGATTTGTGGCATTTGCCAGTTTCTGTGGCATAAATACAGCCACAATGGCCATTTTAAAGCTACAAAGTTGTCATGAACTTTCACAAATTTCCTGAAAATGTAACAGGAGTGGATTGAACCGACTCCAGTACACCATGGAATTGATTTCATTCTAAGAAAATAATGCTTGTTAGTTAGAAAAGGTATCCCCCATCCTCCAGTCCAAAAGCATCCAGATTGTTTTAGCGTCCCTCAGTGATCTCATTCAAGGTTCTTCTCACAAGAACCAATGAGTAATTTACTTCAGCTCAGCAGACCCACACAATCTGGTTGAGTTGATTGGCATAAGCCATATATACTAATGAATTAAAGCTCCAGCCTTGATGGGCTGAAGATCCAAGGAAGTGACACTCTAGACCATAAAAATTGATTAAATGGCTCTTGATAAACTGGAGAAAAGTTTCACCCAAGTCAAGATTTGGTTCAATTACTGAAAGAGCAAATTAGAACTTTTCAAAGTTAGAAAGCAGAGTGAGAGTAAACTGCACACGTATATCTTGGGGGCAAAAAGAGGGCCCCAATGAATCACAGACTACTAGTCTTTACAAATCAATATGAAATAAAACAGGTAATAATGGGATTCCAGTAAAAGAAACGAGTGATTCTTTTTTTACTGGGGACTGAGACCTCTTGGGTTCAGATTTGCTTTGTTGCTTCCTAGAACGCTGGCTTAATTTGCTCTTCCTGGGTGTAGGTACGATGGAGTGCTTAAATGCACAGGCTACGGTTTTCTTCTCTGTAAAATGGTGATATTAATAATACTGTCAAAGCAGTTTCTCAGATAAATTCAATGGAACAATGACACACATTTTATTTCAAGCTTGGTGGAAGGGAAAAGGCTTCAAAAAAAAAACTAGTTCAAAAATTTACTTTTGGGAGGAAAAAAATGACTTAATAAATATTATTCAGCTAGAGTTTGAAAAGAAGAATATCTGGTTTAAAGATTATTAGGATAGCACAAGGCTTAAAGAGTGTTGTGCCCTTAAATGTCTGGTTAAAGGTTACTGAACACATCTAAAAAACAACAGCAGAGTGGTGCCAATCTAGCTTCCCAGAAGGACTCTAAGCCTCATTAAAATCTATCAGAAAGGCCAGGCGTGGTGGCTAACACCTGTAATCCCAACACTTCGGGAGGCCAAGGTGGGCAAATCACAAGGTCAGGAGTTCAAGACCAGCCTGGCCAACATGGTGAAACCTCTTCTCTACTAAAAATACAAAAAATTAGCTGGGCGTGGTGGCAGGTGCCTGTAATCCCAGCTACTCGGGAGACTGAGGCAGGAGAATCACTTGAACCTGGGAGGCAGAGGTTGCAGTGAGCCAAGATCATGCCACTGCACTCCAGTGCAAGACTCCATCTCAAAAAAAAACAAACAAACAAACAAACAAGAAAAAACCAACTATCAATAAAATACTCCAGTGCTTTATCAGGAATGCCAGATCCTTTCCAAAGAGGCTGAAAATCCTATTAGCCTACAAAGTTCTGCCCCAGCTCAGGTTTGGGATAATTTCCTTTCATAGTAACCATCACACAGAGCTGGTGTGAGGATTAAATGAAATGGCAACAGCCAACAAACACACACTTGGGTGTTTATCTTGTGCTAAGACTGGAAATGAGCTCTTTACATCTGTTATGAAGTCATGCCACTTCCCACTTTAAAATTTTTGAGGGGCTTTGCATTGCACTTAGTACAAAACACACTTCCTCATCCTTGTTTTCAAAAACCTACATGATCTAATTTCATTCGTTGCCACTCTGCCTCTTGCCCATTAACCTCAGCTACAATGACCTTATTTACGTTCTTCAAATACATCGAGCTGATTCCTGCCCCAGGACCTCAGCACCAGCTGTTCTCCCTGCCAGGGCTGCCCCTCCTTATTTTCTCACGGCTGACTTCAACGTGATGTTCGGAGGTGAGAAAGGCCTACCCTAACCTGTAAGTTGCTTCCAGTCACCCTTTATCATATCACTCCACTTAATCTTCTACAGAGTGCTTATCTCTATCTGATATTTTATTTGTGCGTTTCTTTTCTCACTAGCAATTCCACTAGAATAGAAGCACCATTAGGGAAAGGGCTTTGTCTGTTTTGCTCAACTGCTTTCTCTCCCATTCCTAGTACAACACCTGGCACATAATAGGAACCCAAAACACATTTGTGAATGAAGGAGTGATCTCAATCAACCGCACCTAAAACCCTATGGCAAGGTCTGTTATTTTTACAATTTCACAAGAAAAATGGTACAGAGAGGTTGAGCAACTTGCTCATGGTCATAAGCTAGAAAATAGCAAAGCTGAAATTCAAAGACCCCAGGCTTCACCTCTTCATCCTTATGCCTGTAAAAAAAAACTTCTTCATCCATCCTTCCTGTTTTATACTAATACATTTCACATTTAGTCTAAGAAATTGAAACACGTCTGCCTTTGCTTTAGATTTCATTTAAATTATTTCCTCTACCATTCATTAATCAAAGAGCTATCTAGTGTTTTCTGTAAATTAAGAAAACTGAATATACCCATGAACGTCTGAATATATATTTTCTTATGACTGATCTTGAAAATTAAGCTGCTTACGACTTGTTCTTGTCTTCAGCCCATCATTTCCTGGTTCAAGGCCACTTTCTCCAGAGTGTTTCACTGGTTAGCTTAGCCCATCTCAGCCACCCTTCTATTAGGTTGGTACAAAAGTTATTGCCGTTTTTTCCATTGAAAGTAATGGCAAAAATCCACAAGTACTTTTGCACCAACTTAATACATAAATGCACATCATTTTCTACCACTTTGCCCTCATTTCTACTTATCCAACTACTCCTGTTGTATTTTATATATGTATTGTATATATAAGAAGCATGTTTTATGCTTACAATTAGCACATTGGCTCCCAGAGACTGGGGTCCATGCCCACTGGGCTTCCTATCCTAAGCACATCTACATGAGCACCAACAAGATGGTAAGAACCCCTGTCCAGTTGCCTAATAACAGAAAATGTGAATATATAAACAAAGTACATCTCCTTCTCCCTTCTCTGTTGAAATGCTTTAATGAAAAATTGTTTAACCACCATTATAATTTGTTCAACATATTTGCCACATCAAAGTGTATTTCTAATAACTTAAAATAGTAGAAATTTAAATTTACGCTCAATCAAGAAGCATAGCTGTCACTCAGTCTTTTTGTAATGATTATTTGAATCTCAACTTTCAATCATAGTCTCTTATTCTTGTCACAGAAAAAGGGATTCATTTAACCACAATCACTTCACTTAAATACAAAAATGTACAATTGTCAATTTAGTATTCATTATTTAAAATAATCACTGATGAGTATTTTTATTCACTTTTCTTTCAAGAAATAGGCATATCTTCTCTTTTCTTTTATTATTTATTTATTATCTTAAAAAATGAACAGCCTAATTCCAACTTTTAAGGCATATGGTTAAGCTCCATAGAAATCATTCTTGAATCAAATCTTTCTAGCAAGACAGTTCTTGTTTTAAAAGACTTGTCCCCATCCAATCCATGACCTCTCTAGAGCAACTGAGGCACCAATATGAAAAGAACAACTTACCTAGCTTGAAGAGTATCAGACTTCTATTGATGTTTTGATAAACGCCAGTACTGGTGTGTCAAGCCAATGTTCAGTTTGCTTACAAAGGGGTAAATGATGCTGGTAAATGTTGACATTCACTAGATGCCTATCCACACTGCACAATTCCTCACAATCCCTACCTGTGTTAGTTTCCTTCCGTTACCGTAACAATGCACATTTCCTATTAAAAATAGGACTTTTATTAGTTGTGAATTTGTTTCACTTAATCAAATGATGGTAGAAACAAGCATACCTGGTCCTCGGGAATATATGGACTGCAGGCAGGGTGTTTGTTGTCCATCTTCATCTGTGCTTCGCTCTGTAGATTAGCGGATTTTTTTTTTTTCTTGGCAGATTGGCTTGATGAACAAGACAGAGGATCTGGTTATTACCTACTCCAGACATCTGCTTACAATGTAGCCAAGAGAGGGATACCAATTACCTTCAAAACTCCCAAGGAAGGGTTCTAATTGGTCCAGCTTGGGTCAGGTCCTCATCTCCAGCCTATTCCCTGTTGTCAATAGACTTCTTTGTCTTTTCCTAGTTTTCTACAAGAAAGACTTCCTTTTCCTAGTTTACTAGTATTCTACTCGTTCTCTACAATTTAAGTTGTAATAATGACAACTTAAATTTAAAATATGGCCAATAAAATTAAATGTTACCTAAGATAGGTCAGTTGGTCACCCTGACTGGACCCCCGCAGCAACACTTCAATTTGTTGACCACAGTGTGGGATCCAGCCTTCAGTCTTGCAAGGTAAGAGGTGACTATCAGTACAAAAAAAAAAAGATCTGAATCCTGGGTGGTTTAAAAATTCACCAAGCTCTTAGGGTTTTATGCATAAAAATCATTCATGGGGAGAGATGTAACTACCAAGTAGACAGCTTCCTCTATTTACTAATCAGCATTTTTCTTCCTATAGGCAAATCCAAATGTGAAGCCAAATATGATCCAAAAATTACTTAACTATCACAGAATCAGAGGAGAAATGAATGAGATCATCTTAATGGCTGGCACCCAATAGCAAATGCATGCTCTCCAGAGACATTGCCAATTCTACACACTTTGAATTCCTTCCTTTCATAGATGCATGCCAACCACCTCTTACTCTAAAAAAAAAAAAAAAACCTCTTTCTTCAAATGTAGAATACAATCTTTATTTAGGTATACAAATTTTTATTTATATTTAAATAAATCCATCCCAGAATTTCTACCCAGATGACCTGGATTAGATTTGAGGTATTCAGATAATATTACATCATTTCTAGAGACCTCCTTCCAATTTCTACTTTTCCTAATTTTATTCCTGGAGGTGTGACTTTCAGTTTTCAGAATACCATGTACCATCTAGAATATTCAGGAAACACACACATACACACACACACACACACACACACACATTAAGGCTATTTTTAAAATAAGAACAGTTTTCACAAAGACTAAGTGGAAAATGCTAAATGCAAAGCTTCTTTCCATCTTTATAAGCATATAAAAGATACCTTGTATTTCAAGTCATCTGTAATACTGACATCTCAATTTTCAAAATAGCCAGCAATTCAGTGGCATTAATAGACACAGGCTACCTAACTTCATAATAAATCTTACTTCTATAAATCTGATTGCTATCACTACCAGGAGTTTAAAACTTATGAGCAATGAAATGTATAAAAATTAATGGAACTTGCATAAAAGGAGTATCATCTTATGAAAAAAAAAAGTTCAAACTAGAAAGCATGGTTTCAATACAACTTTGTTTATAAAAACAGGTAGACTGGATTAGGCCTGTGGGCTGTGATTTGTCTAGTCCAGTGTTTCTCATATAGTGCTCTATCAGCATTTCTTAAATGCATTTGTTAACAATGGAAACTCTCAGGCTCTGTCCCAGACCTATCAAATCAGGGACTCAGGATGGCACACCTAGCACTCTATTTTAACAAGTCCTCTAGGAGATTTTGGTGCAGGCTAAAATTTGAGAACCACTATTAGTCTTCCAGATTACCCACAGAGGACTCTCCCATCCCATAAAGTATCAACAACTAATGTAATTGATAGGTCCAACTTCACCAAACCTCCCTCACCACTCTATTTCCCTCCTCTTCTGAAGTTCCTACCCCAATATCCCAGGGGCTGATGTATCCCAATCCTCATCTCAGTTGACATTACTGCTGTCTTGCTGCCCCAGACAAATCCTCCTTTTTCCCACCAACTAGGACATGGCCACTCTTGAATTCTGCAGCTCCTCAAGGTAATACATTCTCACAAAGCCACCATTTCCAAAGCACCCCTGCCCTAGAACACTCCCAGCCTGGCAGGGAGCTGAAGTTTCCATTCTCTGCCAAATGTCCCAGAATCACCCTTCTCCGTCTCTGCCTTACCATCCCCCTGTACCACTCCACCTCCATGCCCTGACCCTAGGGCAAGTAACAATTCTTTCAAGGGAAAAATCAATATCCGCTTTTCACATTAACATTGTATAACACTCTGCATCCCCACCATCATGGCAGTCCTGCCTTATTTGAGGTTTTGCTTTCTGCAGTTTCAGTTACTCATGGTCAACTGTGGTGTGAAAATATTAAACGGGAAATTCCAGGAACAATGAATACATTTTAAGTGTTGCACCATTCTGACAAGTATGCTGAAATCTTGCACCATCCCATGCCATCCTTTTGTCCAGCATATCGACTCTATATATGTTACCTGCCTGTTAGTCACTTCGTAGCCATCTTGGTTATCAGATCAGAAAAAAACATAATATACACAGTATAGAGTTTTGGGGGTTTTGTTGTTGTTGTTTTTGTTTTTGAGATGGAGTCTCACTCTATCACCCAGGCTGGAGTGCAGTGGCACAATCTCGGCTTACTGCAACCTCTGTCTTTCAGGTTCAAGCAATTCTCCTGCCTTAGCCTCCCAAGTGGCTGGGATTATAGGCACATGCCATCACACACAGTTAATTTTGTATTTTTAGTAGAGATGGAGTTTCACCACGTTGCCCAGGCTGGTCTTGAACTCCTGCCCTCAGGTGATCCACCCACCTCACCCTCCCAAAGTGCTGGGATTACAGGCAAGAGTCACTGTGCCCAGCCCACAGTATAGAGTTTGGTCCTCCATGGTTTCAAGCATCCTCTAGGGGTCTTGGAACATCTCCCCTATGGATAACAGGGCACTATTATACTGCAACAAAAATAGAATACGTGTGACCATGCAGCTTGCATTGGAAAGACAAATAATATTAACACATGTCCTCTCCCCCTCCTCCTGTGTTTTCTGTTATCATTGAAAAATGAACTTTCAAAGTTTCTACTAAGCTTTGGGTTGATGGACAGTCATTTAGGAAATATTAACTTCCCTTTGATTATCAAAAGCCTAGTTAGGAATGGAGATGCCAAAGAGTGGGGATCCCACGGGGGTACAAGGGGAAGAAAATAAGGAAACAACTCTGCCAAATAATCAGACGGGATCCCTGGGGTTAGGAGATCAATGTTTGACTTTCACTGGACAGGCTCACAGAAACAGTCTGGAGGACTGGGTAGGGGTGGGGGACAGGCCGGACTGTACAAAGGAGAAATCCCAGGGGCCAACCATTTGTCAGGAATCTGGTGCCTAACCATACACATGGCTACCAGTAACGGAGGCCATCATCACCTACTGTTGCTTCCCTAATTCACAAACTGTAAAGTCCGTCACCTTGACATCAGACTTGGGGAACAGAATGAGAGTCAATCCTGTCAAGGGAGAAAGTATCTGACCCTTGTTGGAATGTTCTGAATTCAGACAGGCATACAGTAGAGCAGGAGAAGGATGGCAATTTCTTTTGTGAAGATCTAACTTCTTCTATGCCCTAAGTACTGCTAGAAATTAATAAACTCTTTTCCTTTCAGCCGGAACCGCCATCTTCTAGTAATTCGCCAAATTGACGAACACAAAGGGAAAGAGGAGAGGCACCCAATAGATGTCCTCTAGGCCTTTTAGAAAACATGCAGTTGTTCCATGTATGTATCAATCCAGAAGAAAGGTGAGGCCGGGCTCGGTGGCTCACGCCTGTAATTCTAGCCCTTTGGGAGGCTGAGGTAGGCGGACTGCCTGAGCTCAGGAGTTCAAAACCAGCATGGGCAACACAGTGAAACCCCGTCTCTGCTAAAAATAAAAAAAAATTAGCTGGGCATGGCAGCGTGAGCCTGTAGTCCCAGCTACTCAGGAGGCTGAGGCAGGAGAATTGCTTGAACCCAGGAGGCGGAGGTTGCAGTGAGTGGAGATCACGCCACGGCACTATGGCCTGGAGGACAGAGCGAGATTCTGTCTCCTGTCTCAAAAAAAATAAAAAATAAAAAAAGGTGATATTGTAGACATCAAGAGAATGGGTACTGTTCAAAAAGGAATGCCCCACAAGTGTTACCATGGCAAAACTAGAAGAGTCTACAGTGTTACCCAGCATGTTGTTGGCATTGTTGTATACAAACAAGGGCCTGATTCTTGCCAAGAGAATTAATATGTGTATGGAGCACATTAAGCTCTCTAAGAACCAAAATAGCTTCCTGAAACACGTGAAGGAAAATGACCAGAAAAAGAAACCAAAGAGAAAGGTACCTGGGTTCAACTGAAGTGCCAGCCTGCTCCACCCAGGGAAGCACAGTTTGTGAGAACCAACGGGAAGGAGCCTGAGCTGCTGGAATCTATTCCCTATGAATTCATGGCAAAATAAGTATTAAAAAAATAAAAGACCTCTGGACTGTAAAAATGTTTCTCTTCGGCTGGGCGGGGTGGCTCACACCTGTAATCCCAGCACTTTGGGAGGCCCAGGCCGGCAGATCATGAGGTCAGGAGATCGAGACCATCCTGGCTAACACAGTGAAACCCCGTCTCTACTAAAAATACAAAAAAAAAAAAAATTAACTGGGCATGGTGGCGGCACCTGTAGTCCCAGCAATCAGGAGGCTAAGGCAGAATGGTGTGAACCTAGGAGGCAGAGCTTGCAGTGAGCCGAGATGACACCACTGCACTCCAGCCTAGGTGACAGAGCAAGACTCTGTCACAGGAAAAAAAAAAAAAAGTTTCTCTTCATTGAGTAGAAGTGTGGTGTCCTCTACCTTAAAGAAATATTTAAAGCAAATTTTAATTGTGTCCTAATTCATTATGTAATGTCTTTACTATTCAAATTTAACATATTTCTTGCTGCAAGATGTGAGGTAGCTTATTGTGCAACAAATTACTCAATTGTTTACAAAACGGCCAGATATTATTTATGAAATATTTGTACTGGTTTAAATATAGTACTTCTAAATCATGATTTGTACTTCTAAATCATCATGGAAGAAATCAAATGATTTACCAAAAAAAAAAGAAATTATATACTCTTTTCTAGAGAGACAATCAGGAGGAAACACAGCAAAGACGTCACTGGTAGGAAATGCTGACTGCTTAAAGCAGTCTTTTAAACAAATTAAATGTATGCTTTTTGTTGTTGTTGTTTTTCGGGTATTTAACATACTCATCCCTAAGACCTGTATTCATATGAAAAGAAAATCACCTTTGAACAGCCAAGGCAGTACAGATCAGTGACCCAGATTCTTTTCAATGTATCTAGAATGTTTTTCAAGGCCACAAAATTGTTCAAGTTACACTGTAACCAGTATAATGTGTCTACCCAGTGTAACCTGAACTCAGAGACACAAATGATGTATCTTTTAGATTCAGTGTGTGTTATTCAATAAGGCAATTAGGGCATATTTGAGATCTCATCTTACTGCATTGCAGAAAATATTTAATATTTTCTATATGCTGTTCACAAATCATTTATTAGTCACTGACCCAATTCATTTTTAGCAGTAAATACCTTATTGTCTCATTAATGTTTTTAAACGTGGACATTATGCCTAACTAAATTTGTAAAGTTTTTCAGAACTTTAATGGATGATTTCTACTAGTAATCTCCAAAAAGCTAAATAAATTTGATTAACACATCCAAATATACCAAAGAAATACCACGCCTTTTATCATACTACACACTTAATAACTTATAAACTTAGAATTTAGCAACATATGTTATATTGTTGGTAATTAAGTGTTATAGTCTTACCTTTTCATGACTAATTTTTAACATGAATAAAACATTTATATTTTACGCTATTTTAATCCTGTAATCTTGACTGCCTTTTTCTTTCTTTCTTTTTTTTTTTTTTTTTTTTGAGACAGGGTGTCACTATGTCACCAAGGCTGGAGTGCAGTGGCACCGCCATAGCTTACCTCCTGGGCTCAAGCAATCCTCCCACCTCAGCTTCTCAAGTAGCTGGAACTACAGGTCTGCACCATCACACCTGGTTACTTTTCGTTTTGCCTCACAAAGCTCTAGGATTACAGGGGTTTGCTGCCATGCCCAGCCTTGACTGCATATAGTAATTAATCTTTTAAGATTCATTCCATGATTTTTTCCTCTCTGCTATCTTCATCAAACTCCTCAAAACACACAGGATACTTTGAATTGAAACAATGAAGTCAAACTGTTTCTGATTTAAAGTAAATCTGATTTGTCTAGTTTGACAATGAAAATGGGCTGTTTATTAGGTTATAAGGTAAACATTTGACATACTTGCAAATCTTTTTTTTTTTCTTGTTTTTGAGAAGGGTCTCACTCTGTCCCTCAACCTGGAGTGCAGTGGCCCCATCATGGCTCACTGCAGACTCAACTTCCTGGGCTCAGGTGATCCTCCCACCTAATCCTCCCAAGTAGGCAGGACTACAGATGCCTCACACTACACCGCCTAATTTCTTTTATTTTTTTGTAGAGGTTGGGTCTTGCCATGTCGCCCAGGCTGGTCTTGAACTCTGGACTCAAGTGATCCTCCTGCCTCAGCCTCCCAATGTGCTAGGATTACAGGCGTGAGACACTGTGCCCAGTGACAAAGATTTTGAACTTGAATGAGCTAAATCTGCAGTTGCAAATTTTGACAAAAACATAATTTAACCACCTGATAACAAAAATAAATCTTACCCAAAACTATTTATGAAAATGAACAATGTTTAGATATTCTCCAAACTTTCAGTATATCGGGTGAAAGGTACATCTCATTGAAAAAATCAGGTTTAATTCATAGTCATGCGGTATCTTGGTAAAACCTATCTGGTATATTTCCCAGAATCTGAAAAAGTGAAAAAATAAGGATTAAGTAAACAAATCCTTTGGCAAATCAGGTAGTTTTCAGCTCTTTGCTTCTGATAAAATGGAAGGAGGGCCTAATTGAAGTTAGCTCATATTTTTTGAAGTCAACCAATTTTTTGAGGTCAAGAATTGAATGATATTGCTACAATAAAACTCTTCCATTCCTAGGCACCGTACTTGTTTATATTAGCAAGGTTTCTCAGAGCACACAGCTATAAAAATTACAAATAGGAATAGAATTGATGCTCAACCCTTTTTCTCCCACTAATAAGACATATTCAGCCACAGATGTAGGAACTCTAAAAAGCAACAATATGCATTTTTCAATAAAATTACATATACTATTTAATAATTATGAAATTTTCTAATATTTATGTTGTTTTGACCAGGTACTACTAACAATTTTAAGGATGATGCAGTCCTAAAGCAGGTCATTTGCTAGCTGTGTAACCTCATTCAACACACTTCATTTATCTGGGCCTTGGTTCCCTGATTTGCAAATTGGGGATAGTAATCCGACCTAGCTCTTAGTGTTTGTCCAAAGATTAAATGAGTTAATATATGTAAAAGCACTTAACGCCACGGTACATAATATGTGCTACGGATGTTTTACCGGCTATAATCATAGTAATCAATAGCAAAAAGCCTAAAACCAAAAGCCT